GCCATCCACACAGACTTAGTCCACCGTGACTTCACCTCAGCCCTGGCTCCAGAAAGATGGATGGGCCGATGAGAGGATTGTGGGATGAGCAAGGAGCTCACTGTCTGCTGCTCCCTCACGAAGCTCCCCTGGGGTCCCCGCATTGGAGGGGTCGGCTGAGCAGGAGGTGACTGGGCCCCTGTCTGTCTCTCTCTGCCACTTCTCCTGGGGAAGCGGGTAGCTTAAAGCCTAGAAAAGGGGATAGGGGCTCTGCTCCTCCACCTTGGTTACTAACAAGGTTACTTTATCACTTGGCTAGTTGGCTGGCAAGGGTGACCCACCTTGTCCTCCACTCTGCCCCGCCTCAGCGCCCAGCCTGAAGGCTAGGCCTCCACCCACTGAGTGGGCAAGGGAGATGGCCAAGGGGACAGGGCCAGGAAGCAAGGCCCTCCTCCCTCCTCTGATTGGTCAGCAGGGGGCTTATGGACAGGCAACTCCTCCAGTAGGGAGAACGAACACACAAACACACATGCTAAATAGTAGCCCGCCCATGGAAACACCTGCTAGGGAAGAGATCACAAATACAACAGCAGAAGCAAAACAGTATAGCAGAAAGGAACGTCCGATGTGGAATGGAAGAGGGCCGGAAATTGGGTTTGAGCTCTGCTGTGTGGCTTTGAACCACTCACTCAACTTCTCTGTGCCAACGGTGCTCAGCTGGCAGGTTAACCATACTCCTGCGGAGGCTCGGGAGAGGATGGTCCTGGCGGGGAAAGGGCATGTGGAGTCCTATTGTAACACCACCTGCCACACCTACCCCTCCACACACACACACACACACACGCACACACACACACCTGTTCGCCCCCTTTCTGCATCCGCACCATCTCCAACTGACCTCTGACCTCCAGGAGACTCAGAAAGGTGAGCCCGGAGGCCCCTGCCCTGCCCGGGGCCTGCTCGCCGCGTGCCCCGCCCTGCCTGCGTGGACAGGCTGCTCCTCGGTCACAGGCAGCACAGAGCTCGGGGTCACAGGTCGCACGGGGCGGGCTGGCCCGCGGCCATAGAGCCCTTGCCCACCGCAGGGCCTCCAAGGCTGAGCCGGCGCCTCCGGGTCCTGATTGGATGTCAGGATCACAGGGGAACCTATGAGAACGCGCCAAGGCCTAGCCCCGCCCTCTCGCCCGCCCCCAGGGAGCCGCCTGTCCAGCGGCCTGGGGTCAGGCCCGCGGTGGCCCGGCCACAGCGCTGTCCAGACGGAAGCTGCCTCCTCTGAGCCTCGCCTTGGGCTTAAGCTGGGGTGTCCAGGGGTCACACTCACACCCCGTCCTTAGTGCAGGGCCCGGCCTCCTCCTCACGCTGGGCCGCGTCCCCAGGCCTCGGTGGGCCCCCTCCCCGCACCCCTGTGTCCCCGTTGACCATCAGCCCCGCCTGCGCCCCCAGGACCCCCAACACCGAGGCTGAGGCCGGGCTGGGAGAGGCCGCTGCCTGGCTGCCTCCTTCACCCCGGCCCTAATTAGTATTCCGAAGAGAGCTGTCTCCAGCAGGCCCCAGGATTTGTTTGCCAGCCGGCCAGTTCCCGGCTCCCCAGTTCAGAGTGAGTAATTCTGTCCCTCCCAGGCCCATTTAAGGGAGTGAATAATTAGTTACATTCAATTAGGCCCCTCGCTGCTCCTGTGGCTCCTGCCTGCCTCACTTGGGGGACAGGCTGGCTAATGAGACAGCGCGACCGACGCAGGGGAGCAAGTCAAACACAGCCGGCCCGGGCCCTCCACCGGGCTGGGAGGGGGCAGGGGGTCCCACAGGGCCTTCCTCCCCGGCCCCCTCCCAGGGCAAGTGAGAAGAGAAACAAGGAGGGGATGAAGGCAAAAGAGAGGAGGATGAAAGACACAAGAGGAAACAGGGTGGGCACAGATGACTCACACCTGTAATCCTAGCTACTCAGGAGACTGAGATCCAGAGGATCGAAGTTCAAAGCCAACCCCAGGCAGAAAAAAAAAACCCCACAACACTCTATGTCCAAAATAACCAGCAAAAAGCTGAGCTAGAGGCATGGTTCAGTGGTAGAGCACTAGCCAAATAAGCAAGGTGAGTACAAGGCCTTGAGTTCAAACCCCAGTACCGCTGAGAGAGGCTGAAAGAGAGAGAGAGAGAGAGAGAGAGAGAGAGAGGTGGAGGCAGGAGACAGGAAAAGCTGAGAATGCATCCAAGAGAATCTCCAGAAGAAAACAGAAACTGCCTGCAAGTCCAACAATAGGGGAGTCCTCACATAAATCAAGATCCTGCCATACAAAGGAATCTATGCAGCGATTAAGAAACATGTTGTCGATCTATATTTATTGGCAGGGAGAGACAGAAGTGTCTGCTGTTCACTGCTAAGCAAAGAAGACTGCTTACCAAACAGTACATGTAATGATATCCCATAATATCCCAAGTTAAAAAAATATTTTTGGCACCAACCACAAGTCTGGAAGGACCATAACTTGTGATTGGAAGCACAGTGGGAGGCTTATGGGGGGGGGCAGGTCTTATTTTTCTATCCCTGTTTATTGCTTTTGATGGGGAGTGTCTGATGCATGAGTATGACTTTTGTAATTAGCCAAAACAATAACACTTGTTCCAAAGAGAACACAAGTGAGGTGGAGGAGCTGGAGAGGGGAAGGAGGTGGGTACAGGCAAAAGCAGGAGGGAGGAGAAGAGGGAGAAGAACAGGGAGGGAGGGAATGGAAGTCCAGGCAGTCACCACAGGGTGGAGTGAGTCCTGGGGCCTGGGGAAGGCTGGGAAGTAGCTGGGTACCAAGGCCCAGCAGGATGTGCCAGTCATCAGAAAGAGCTCAGGACAGGGTGGGAGGGCACCGGAATAAAGGCTGCATCCATCAGCTGTACTTGCTGAGCCCCACCTGGACACACACACACACACACACACACACACACACAGACACACACACACACACGCACACACACACGAGATCCCCCACCCCCAACCACAGCATGGAGTTTTCTTTCTTTCTTTTTTTTTAAAACAAATTAAAACTGCATCTCTCCACACCCCTGCAGCTGGGTTGTAATTTCCTGAGTGTCACCCTTGGGGAGAGAGGTCCTGGGGGCATCGTCTCTAATAACTTCTGCTGCTCAAGGAATCTGAGGAGCAAATGGGCTGTGGACAGAGCCTACAGGCTGCGGGCAGGCCATCTGCCTGGAGGCCCATGGGGCTGGTGCTTTAGGGGGTGGCTGTGGAATTAGGGATTCGGGGCACCCAGTTTGGCTGAACTGGGGTCCTGTCATTCTGCATGGGGGTGCTCCCTATCTCCCCAGAGCTCTCAGCAGCCTCCTGGATGGCTGTGGAGGAAAGAAACAGCCAGCATAGACACTGGCCTAGGCTGGCTGTGAATCCACCGAGGGCCTCCATTTCCCCAGGTCTAAAACGGAAGGGGTAGACACAATGACATTCCAAGTCTTCCCATCTCAACTGTCTCTTGGGCACCGACAGAGTTGTGTTTTGGTTTGGTTTGGTTTGAATTTGGGATTAATGGTGTTTACGTGTTGGGAGATTTCACAGAAAAAAATAAATCTGAATTCCCAGCCACACTCAATCTTGCTTTTGCTGGGAGCCATGGAGCAGAGCTAATAGATGCTGAGCCCAAAGATGGCTGAGGCCTCTGCTGTCTGGGACTCCTGACCCTGCAGGCCTCCCTCTCCAAGCCCTGGGCTAGTGTGGGTCTCTGATCTCTGCCTCCTCTAGAGGTTGGCTGTTCTACCCTCAGTTTCCCTCCGCTGGCAAGCAGCTACCTCTTTTAAGTTTTTTGTTTTGTTTGAGTAGTGGTAGTGGCGCTACAGGCTGCAATGCTCAACCGTGGAAACATACCCTCAGCCCTTTATTTATTATTATTTTTTTGGTTTTGAGATAGGATCTTACTATCTTTGCCTGGAGTCGACCTCAGACCCGAGCTCCACCTCCAGGGTAGCCTGGATTACTGTCTTGTGCCACCCCACCCGGCCCAGCCCCACACAGTCTTGATGGTCTGTCAACATGTGCCTGTTTCCTTTCACTGCGTGAGTAAAACCACCAGTTCTGGGTGACCCCAGTTGGGTCCACATCTCAGCTCTGCCTCCTGCGTGAGACCTGGGCCAAGTCATGCGATCTCAGAGCCTCATCTGTGAAATGGGTATTAGGAGATCACACCTTCTGTGGGTTGTCATGGTGACTAAAGCACTGCCTGGAACGTTCTTAGAGCTGTGTCCCGCACATAGTAAGCTCTTAGCTTGTCACCGCACACTGCCCTGAGAAGGGGTGCACAGTTCATGTTTGTTGAGGAACGCAGTTCACAGAGAACAATGCGGAGAGGCTGCAGAGGCTCCAGCAGAAAGTGGAAAGGCCTCATCTCCAGTGCCTGGGCAGGTGGAGAGCCCGTTCAACCAAGCCAACCTCACTGAGGACTGCCAAGTTGGTAGAGTCAGGGTCTTTGCATGTTACTTTGGTGCCACCTCCTGGCTGCTGTGTACCTCACATCACTTCCTCAGGCAACCCAGAAACCATGGGGTTCCCTCTATTTTCACGCCGGTAGGACTCACAAGGCACCTCCCCTTCATGGCACATCAAGGACAAAAGTCCGACCCAGAAAGTGACCTTCCTGAGTCTACAGAAAGCTCCTGGCCCAGTCGCATGAGAATCAACTTCCTCAAGTTACCAATTCCACACTTCCTCCCTGTGAGACACACTAGAGACACAAAATGACACCATCTTGGACACAGGTTCTGCAAAACCCAAGGGGAAATTTCTCCCAGAAACCGGAAGAAGAGGGACTGCAGAGAGAGGAAAAGATGGGAACTGGAGATGGGTTGTGGACTGGCGAGTTGAATCCAGGAAGTGGCCGTGGAGATAAATCAGGGCAGAAGGTCCGCTGTGGCAGGGGTAGGCTTTGGGTTCATCCCTCCCATGCTCCAAGAAGGAGGCCTCTACCTACCCTTGAGTACCGCGCTCATTATGATATCGTAAAAAGGAAGTAGAGGACACAGGGAGGTAGAAAACAGGAAAATTTATTAGTAAAGCAAATATAGAAAGGTAATAGTATATAACCTATGGCTGCATGGGGCCCAGAACGCATTCCCCACCCCCCTCGACTTTTCCCTCCAAAGGACACGGAGCATGGGGTGTTCATCCTGCACCCCAGGTTGACTGAGAGCGTGCTCCCAGGAACTCAGTCTCCCAGGCACATACCAGGCCTACACGCTCACCAAGCACACCTTTCAAACCAGGGCAGCTCCAAGCCCAGCCATCCAAGGCCAGCAGCAGACATTATTAGCTGCTTAAGCAGCCACATGGAAGCTCAAAGTGTGATCCCTGGACAGCAGCTTCAGTCACACTCGGGGAACTTGCTAGAAGTGCACATTCTTGATCCCTGTCCCAGACTTGCTGAGCCAATGCACTGGCAGTGAGGCCCAGCAAGCTGTCCCCTAACAGGTGGTTCTGCTGCTGCTTCAGGCCAACCAAGCACCTCTGACTTAGGAGGAAACACAGGACCAACCACACTGGCCACGAGGCTGGCCACCGTTTCCCAGGTAGCCATGATCAGAAGATCTACAATCTCACAGAAGAGGAGCCTGGGACTTGGGCAGACGAGGGTCTGGTGCCTCTCTCCACCACACAGGCCTGAGCTCCACTTGCCTGGGATCTAGGTGGCAGAGGGAGATGAGGCCCCAACATTCCCCCTCCCCACGCCTCCACCTTGCTCCACTTTCTGCACTACAGGCTTCCACCTGGTGCCTCCAAATGGTCCTCAGAACGCTTCTGGGAAGCCTGCCAAGCGGGTGCCCGTCTCTTGGCTCCTAGCTGCCCTTATAGCCACCACTGGGGCAAGTGCTCCTCACCCCTAGCCTCCAGTTCACAGGGCTTGGGGAGAAATCCAAAGCAGCTTCTCACTGGGAAAGGCTGGGATCCCTGGGTTAACACCGGCCACTCTCGGTCTTTGTGTCTGGCCTTTGGATGGCACTTTGATTGGCTCTCCCTCCACCCCCTTGTCCTCCGGCCCTCCTCCCCTCCCCTCTGCTCCCACTCCATCTGCTGCTCCTCCTGACTAGGCTCAGTTGGCACAATAGGAAAAGAGAACAGGGCGGTTTATTTTTATCCTGGGATGCTGCTGGGGGCGGGGAAAGGGAGCAGAGGGGAGGTCAGAAGGCATTGGAAGTCCCAGCCTCTCCCTGTAAGGAGCTAGACACAGAGATTCCAGAGGGTCAGTGCAGGTCCTGGGGCTTGAACTCAAGGCCTGGGTGCTGTCCCTCAGCTTTTTCACTCCAAGCAAGTGTTCTACCACTTGTGCTGCAGCTTCACTTCTGGTTTTAGAGAGGTCAGGTGAGGATAAAAGTCACATGGACTTTCCTGCTCTGGTTGCCTTCGGATCCTGGTCCTCAGATCTCAGCCTCCTGAGTAGCTAGTCACTGGAATGAGCTACAGGCATGCCCCCTGCCCCACCCCCATCTCCCCATGTTTTCTCCCTCTGTAAAAAGAAGCAGAGATGCAGACCCCGTCTGCCTGGGAAGGCTGTCTGCGAGGACTGGAGTCAAGTGGGAGAATTTTTTTTTTTAAACAAAGCTGATACCAAATGTGAGCACACTTGGAACTGCCCTAAGGGGCAGCAGCCGGAGGACATGCTTTATCTCAGAAAATGCCCTCATTCTGAGAGGCTGACAGCAAATTAAACAGCTCATGTCACCTAGCATGTCCACCCCTGGTTTTCTTTCTACATGTTTGATGATTTTTTTTGTTTGATGATTTTTTAATTACATATGCATTATGCCAATTTACTCTCCTTTGGAAAAAAAAAAAACAATGAAGCATTATGGGAAAGCTATGCCTCCCTTGGCCCAGACATTACCACTCTCGAGTTTTAAGTTTTCAGTGCGTCTTTCCAGAGCCTACATAAATGGTTATTTTTGTTATTTTGCCTCCATAAATTATATATACATATATATATATATATTGTATCATACCTATACCCACAGATATCCTTACATAACTATGCAGCAGTGTACATATACCACGCTATATTGCATACACTGTCATACACTACATATACTCTAATATAGTGTATACATGGTGTTTTAAAGTTTCTGTACCGACAACCTGCCTTTTTGGCAGTGAGTTGGGCCCGTCCCTGACTTCCAGCCTCCCACGCGCTGCTGCATCAAGATCTGTCTCTGAGTACTGACCAGCTGGGCTGGGTCGGAAGGTGTCATGGGTGCTACTTGGTGCCCCACACACACCCTGTATTCCTCCACCTTCAAAAAGCAAGTGTAGAGTCTGGATGGCTCCAGGAGAGGCAGGAAAGTTCTAGAAGGTGATCTGTGGTCTGTGTCTGTGCTGGGGCTTCTCAAACCTGAGGGGTTCCGGCAGAGAAGGCGTGGCTACGCCAGTGCCCACCCCTTGTCTTCAGGCAGTCAGCTCGCAGCAGCTCCCAGCTCTCCAGCCACAGGGGCGGCACCCGTGCGAACGCCCCATCCCACGCAGACGCAGCCTCACCGCCTCTCCTGCACTGAGATGCGGCTTTCTTTGCCATCCTCCTGGGTAACGGGCTGGCAGCCGTGCATGGTCTCCTGCACCGGGGCTGCGGGGTTGTGGCCAGAGATGTCCTCCATCTCCACGGGGTCCTGACATATGTTCTGAGGATGGAGGGCCTGGGGAGCCAGGGAGTGAGCTTAGCCCAGCCACAGGCCAGCGGTGCCCCAGGGCCACGCAGCCCACACCTGGGAAGTGGATCCCCTCCCCTAAATGGTAAGGAGGTGCCTTGGGTGCTTCCTGCCCCCTGCTGGCTGCTAAGAGGAAGCTTCTAGAGTGGGAGCCAGCGGATAAGCTTCTCTGGCCTCCCACATTGGACCAAGATTCAAGATCCAAGGTAACCCCACACACACCACCACCACCATGGCAAAATCCAGGGAGAGGATAAAGAAGTGCCAGTGCTAGACATGGCCAACGGTGCCAAGGTTAGCTCGGTGGGGAGGTATGTGAGTGCACTGAGGGAGCCCAGGCTGGACCATGGGGACAGACCATGGGAACCCAGGAGCCAGTTCTGCTGCCATCCCACTGGCCACAGGGACAGACCCTGAACCAATCCTCCTGCTTTCCAGACAAAGAATCTATCTTCCCAGATTGCCAAAACCCTGCCCAGGGCACCAGAGCTGACCTACCTTAGCCTTCCGCTTCTTAGCTTCCTTTCCTAGGGGAGAAAGGAAGAGATAGGGCATTGGGAAGGCCGGATCGGCCTCCATAGTACATCCTTCTCCCTCCACATCCTCTTCCCACCTGAAGACTCACTGATATAGACAGACGCCACGAAGACAGCGCACAGGATGCCGATCACGACAGGGATCGCCACCAGGGTTCTGCTCCGAGACTGGGGACCTGGGGAAATGGGGACTTGAGCATGATCTACCCACAACTGTTCCCTCCTCCACTGTGGTCCCTTGGCCACCTGGTAAGCCCTCCAGGGAATGAGCTCATCTACCCCATCTCCCTACACCATCTACATCATCCGTGTCCCTATGTCATCTACGTCATCTGGCCCTTGGGCAGGTCCATATCGGCTGACACCAGTTTTTAATGCATTGAGGAAGCTACCAATATTCTTAGATGGGGGAATAGGAAGATTCATATTAGACATTAGTCCCTTACCCTTAGGAAAGACCATTTTGGGAGAAGCTAGCATCCACAGCTAGTACTGAGCAGCAGTGGCTGACCTGCCCACTTCCCAACATTCTCCACTCTGACGTTGAGGACAGCAAGATTTATGCCTGCTCTGCTCCATTTGTTACAGAACCATCAAGGGGGAGAGGAGAGTATTTCTTCTGTTCAAGCAATAAACAATGGCCCCACAGGTGCACAAGGGCCCCCCCCCACCCCGCTTTCTTAAAATAAAATTTTATTAGAATCAGATTAGAATGAAGTGAATGGGGCAGAGTCCTGCAAATGCAAGGTCAGATCCTGTCTTTATTTATTTCAAATTCTGTTGTTCATTATGATTTTTTTTACTTCTTTATGAGTTTTTTTTAACATTGCTTCAAAATCTTGGTTATTGCATTTCTATGGCACTATATTAAATGTCATGTCCCAACTGCCTCCTTACCCTAGTCCCAGCCCTGCAAAGAGGAAAGTCCATCTTGCAAAAAAGCGAAGAGAACATGCTTTCTCACCCATGATCTTTCCTACTCACTAAAGGACCTGTCTGGGTCCCTGTAGTTAATAGGAGTTTGTGATCTGTGCCAATCTTCCGCGTTCTCAAATCAAAACTGAGGCTCCCAGGGAACAATGTCACAACCTTCTACTAGCTACAGGATGGTGGCAGGTGGCAGGCACGGAGGGCCTCGAAGTGGTAAGAACCCTCACCAGATATCTGCGCCAAGCTTCAGGAGACGCTGCGCTCATCCCACTTCATAGATGAAGAAATGAAGCTCCCAACAGATGTGACTTGCCCTAGCTCTCAAGATAAGTGGCAGGGCTGGAATGCCCTCCCCTCGACTCGCTTCCTCTTCCCATTTCAACGACACCTCCCCTCAGTCTCTGTGTGCCTCAGTCTCCCTTCTCCCAGACTCACCACAGATAACATCAGAGTGCTTCGTTCCTTGCTGCAGCACCACCAGGTCTTTGGCTTCACAGCTGTGCAAAGACACACATGCACACGTGTGGGTGCATGTGCACATGTGCACACACGCACATGCATACACATGCACACACATAAAAAGAAACAGTAGGGCTTCCAACCATAAGGGAGAGGCAGTTAATGAGCAGGTCCAGGCCCACTGAGCTCGCGTGCATTTCAGGCAGCATCCCTCACTGGTTATTAAGGAAATGTCAGGAAGTCATAAGTGTAAAGGAAAGGTCATTGTGCATCTTAAAGAGTAGTAAATAGGAGAGTGGATAATGAACACCAGCTTCATAAGGCGGGCTGAAGTTCCTGTCTGCAAAGGCTGACGGGGAGGGGAGGGTCATGAGCTCTATTTAAGGCAGGACAGCAACAGCAGATAGTTCGGGAGAGGGGGAAGCATTGCAGGATATATTCCTGGCCTCCTCCTCCCCAGGCATGACAACTGAAAGACGCCCAGCTGTGGCCACAGCTGGAAATGTCCCACGGGGAGCAAAACCGGTGCCAGTCAAGATGAGTTAGTTTAAGGGTCTTCTGGGAAGATTTCTATATGAAAAGCTGTGTACAGAGTCCCACAGGATGTCAAGGGAGGAGCAGCAGTGCACCGCAGCTAAGTGGGGCAGTGTGTGCAGAGGGAAGGCAGGTGGCTGGCATGCAGGTAGCACTGAGAATCTATGGGAAACTAGACACTGATATTCAGCCAGATGACCCAACTAGTGAGGGATCAACTGGCCAGCAAGCTCAAGGAAGGTGAAATTGTACAATGCCCAGCTAGGAGCCGCCACAAGAAATGTGGGACCCTAAAGAGTGGGGGAGGGGACAGAGACGTTCGTGGCAAAGGAAAAACCGTTAAGGGTGAGAGATAAAGAGGACCTCTGTGAAAGCACAGAGGTCAGCATTGTGTAAGAGCATTTAGTTTATAAAATGAGTGTGTGAGAGTGTGTGTGTGTGTGTGTGTGTGCCGGTGGTGGTGCTTGAACTCAGGACCTTGTGCTCTTGCTTGGCTTTTTTTGCTCAAGGCTAGCATTCTACCACTTGAGCCACAGTTCCACTTCTAGCTTTTCAGTGGTTAATTGAAGATAAGAGTCTCATGGACTTTTCTGCCTGGGCTGGTTTCAAACCATAATCTTCTTCTGCCTCCTGAGTAACCAGGATTACAGGTGTGAGCCACAGCACCCAGCTAACAAAACACTTGTATATGTCTTCATCTTCAAGCCTTGTGAAAGGCTTCATCTCTCTTCTAGATAAGGATGCCAAGGCTCAGAGGGGTGATGGTTGCCACCAGCAGAACTGGGGGTCAGTGTACATGGATCAGACTCTACTATAGGAGTCTCCAGTCACCAGGTAAAGACTGACTAAGCACTTACTATGTAAGGCACTGTTCCAGGTATAAGGGATGGATCAGAAGAAGAAAAGAAAAAGCTGTATCTCAAACCAGGTATGATGGTTCACACTTGTAATTCAAGCTACTCAGGAGGCAGAGATAGAAGGATCCTGGTTCAAGACAGCATGGCCTGTCTTGTAGTTAGTAAGAGTCATAGCCAAGTGCTGGTAGCTCACACCTGTAATCCTAGCTACTCCGGAGGCAAAGATCTGAGGATCGTGATTCAAAGTCATGGGGGCAAGAAAGTTCATGAGACTCTTATCTCCAATTCATCACCAAAAAATCCAGAATTAGACTTTTGGCTCAATGAATAGAGCACTAGCCTTGAGCACAAAAGCTCAGGGACAGCAGCCAGACCCTGAATTCAAGCCCCAGGGCAAGCATACACACACACACACACACACACACACACACACACACACACACACACACACACACACACACACACACACACACACACACACACACACACACACACACACACACACACACACACAGTCATGTGGTAGTGACTATAATCTTAACTATGAGGGAGTTGTCAGTAGAGGGATCATAATATGAGGCTGGATGGGTTGGAAGAAGCACAAGACTCTATCTGAAAAATAACTAAACGTGTCTCCATGTGTGGCTCAGTGTGGCTCAGTGGTAGGGTACCTGGGACTGAGGAGATGGACGGGGACCATGCTGGGGAAATGTGACCACAGATGCCCCAGAAAACCAGTCAGGAAGTCTGAAGGAAGTGGAAGACTGAGGAATGGAAGCAGGGGTAGGAGGGTAATCATGCCACCCTGAGAACAGCAACTTTAAGAATGGGAGATTGGCAATGTCAACTACAGTAAGAGCAGACAAGAGCAACATGAGGAAAGATCAAACACAAGGTCACTCTGCAGAGTGACCAGTGGGTGAGTGTGTGCACCACGGAGGAACAGGGATGGAAGGGCAGGTAGCTGGAGAGATTAAGGTAGGACCCACCACCACTTTGGAGCCAGTCCTTGTACCTTGTCCAGGGTCGACACTTTTCAGAAGCAGATGAGTCATTCGAGAAGAAGCCGACAGGGCAGGGTTCACAGACTGTGTCAGTCATCTTTGTAGCTGGGGATGGGGTAGGAGAGCACATGTGTAGCTAGCTCTCAGGGATCAGTGGACAGGCAGGACAGGAAGAGCTAGCTGCCTGGAGCTCCAGGCGCCCTCAAAGCTGCAGCTCAGCAGCACTTCTCCCATCTTCTCTGCAGGCACAAACCCTTGGCCGGAGGCAGAAGACTGAAGATCCCATCCTCTGCTCACACTAGCAGGAAGGAGCCTCCAGCCCCTCCACCTCTGAGGCTACATGCCAACTGTGCCAACTGCCCAGACTGCCTTTGGGCAAGATCCGCTGGCTCTCATCTCCCACTCCTAGAGCTGATTCCCAGATGGGCCACTTACCAATCTGCTTGACTCCAAAGCCAGGGCCACACAGCGTGTGCAGCTCACAGCTCTCGCAAGCACGGCCCAGACAGTGCAGGCCCTTCTCACAGGTACAGACTGCATCTGTCTCCGCTGTGCCCTTCCTCAGGAACTGGAGCCCTAGATCTGAGTAGAGAGGAGAAGCAAGGATGGGAACCCACTTGCTGGACTAGACTTGACTAGCTCTAACGATGCCTTAGACCCTTTGCAAGTACAGATAACAACTTATTTAAGAGAAAGTCCTGCCTAGCAAGTGCTAGGCCCTGGGTTCAATCTCTAGTATAGCAAAAATAAATAAATAAATAAAAGAAATCAGTCAAGCCAAACTCCAATTGACCAATCAGAGCAGTCTGGCTACTATGATCTGAGTGGCTGTGTGCTCAGGAATATTAGCTGAACCATCATCAGCTCCTCCCCGGTTGCCCTCCCCAGCAGCTCACGTACTGGAGTCGCAGTATCTGTGCTGGTGGCAGCGGGTCTCTCTGTTCCAGGTATCTGAGAATTCACCTCTGCCGCACTGCAGGCAATCTGTCTGGGCGAACTCGGTACATTCATTCACCAACTTCTTTCCTGGAAAACATCAGGAATTATGGCATCTCTGGCCACTCAGGGAATCCGATTCTCCATTGAGAGCAGAGGGGCTCAAAGATGAATGTCTCAGACTCTTTGTGATCTGGTTGGGGAAGATGGAAGAGATAGGACCCCCAGAGGAGAGAAGGCAGAGGTTTACCTGGCAGAGAGGGAGCCTAGAACATTCTGACAGCTGGGCAGAGTTGGGGGGGGGGAATGGGTTATTTCTGACTTCAGTTCACAGTGGGTCTTCCTCTGCCAGCAAACCAAGGATCCCACTGTGGGACTAGAGGGTTGGCATCTCACCTGGCGGGCACAAATCACAGCACTGATTGTTCAGTGGGTACTGATTTTCTCTGCATGCGGTGGTCAGTTCTGCATACACCTGGAAACACAATTGTGCGACTGGTAAGGATCTTGAAGTCTCTGCTGTGGGGGCTCCTTGGCAGGAAGGCTGAAAGTCAGCTAGGACAGCTGCTGTCACTGTTGCAGAAATCCAAAAAGCTAAAAATGGAGCCCCACAGAGCACTGAGTATGTTTGTTTTTATCTAAACTGTCAAAAAAATCTGATTATGAAAGAGTCCAGAGGATCATTCTGGTATTTTACAAAAGCCATAGCACTGGAGTCTCTAAACAAACAGAGCTGCTGAACTCCTGAGTCTCCTCTTGCCAAAGATCCAGTAGGACCAGGAGTCTTTCATACCTACCCAGGACCCTGAACGCTAGCTGGTTTCAGTTCCACCTCATTCTTCTTCCTTCCCTCTCCAAGCACGTCTCCATCTCCACATCATCAGTTCAGTCAGACCCTCCCTTATAAAATGCTAAGACTGGGGCTGGGAAGGTGGCTCAGTGGTAGAGTGCTTGCCTTGCATGCATGAGGCCCTGGGTTCGATTCCTCAGCACCACATAAGCAAAAAAAGAAAAGCCGGAAGTGGCTCAAGTGGTAGAGTGCTAGCCTTGAGCTGAAGAGCTGAGGGACAGCGCCCAGGCCCAGAGTTCAGGCCCCACGACCGGACCAAAAAATAAATAAAAATAAAATGCTAAGATTGAGAGGCTAGAAAAGATGAACCCTAAATCCTTCCTTTTACAGATAATGACACTAAGCACTAGAGAGGATGAATCTAGTGCCCAGAGATCCCCAGGAACAGAAACAGAAACTAAAAGTCTTAACATACCCTCTTTAATCCATCAACTTCTTGTAGACATCACATCAGTGACATCTGGTAGCAACCATGCTATTAATTGCGTCTTGCTAATTTAATTGCATTTCTTTTAAATGAAAACCTTATATCTTTGCTAGTATCACTTCCCATGAATAAAAGGAAACTAAAAATAAACCCAGCAGAAACAAAACATTGACATTAAACCTCAGTTGGTTGCTCTGCTGGCTGAAAGCCAGCCCTCTACCTCAGTCTACTCTCGATTCCCGAACCTTTGAGAGGCATTAACTATATTATAGCTCCAGACTTTACAAAAAAAAAGGAAAAGGAGCTGGGTGCCCATGGCTCATGCCTGTAATCCTAGCAACTAAGGAGGCTAAGATCTAAGAATGGAGGTTTGAAGCCTGCCTGGGCAGGAAAATCTGTTGAGACTCTTGTCTCCAATTAACAAGCAAAAAGCCAGAAGTGGGGGTGTGGTAGAGGGTACCAGCTTTGAGAGAAACAGCTAAGAGATAGCACCCAGGCCCTGAGTTCAAGCCCCAGGATCAGCACACACAAACACAAACAGACACACAGTGAGGAGGATTTTTAGAACTACACAATGAGTTTGTGTTTTAGTTCTATATCCATGTCTGTCTAAGATCATCCTACACTCTGAGAACAGTCAAGAAAAAAAGCAGAGAATCAGACTTCAGGTTCCAAACTTTCTAACACACACTAATTTGTGTCTCTGATCTTCACTTCCTTATCTTTAAGGTGGGAGCAATAACACGTGCCCTGCTGATAGGCCTGGCATCGCCTCTAGCCGAAGTATGGGCTCATTCACAGTTTGACTCACATCTACATGAATATCTGCTAGAATACTCAGCTCCCTGGCTAACTGGCTGACCGCTGAGAATGTAGCTAATTGGTAGCTCTCATTCAACTTAGGTTTCTGAGCAAATTACTCCATGAAATGCATCTTACCTCACAGAGGAAAGGCTGCCTGGAAGGGGCATCCCAAGGTACCACCCTCTGAACCAGAACTTGCCAAGCCACCCTCAGAGCAATCAAATCCTTTGATCACATGAGAAAAACAGCAAGTTCCCAGGCAGTCTGTCAGTTTCCACTCCTCACAGCTGTCTCACGGTTACAAAAGGCCTCAGGAGCAGGACTCTTGTCACGTGACAGGAAGAGTCAGGAATCAGACAGATGGCGGTTCAGTCAGGCTGACCACTACCTAGCTAGGAGGCCTTGGATAATGCAACTTCCCTTCCTGAGCCCCAGGTTGCTACCCTGTATGAAGACATTGGGAGAAATCAGATAAGTCAGAGAATAGATGTAGTATTTCGCTCAGTCTGACATACAAGGAACACCTGGATAAACAGCACCTGTTACTGTTATCACAGCAATCTGGGCTCTACCTGCAGCCTAAATTGGAAGGGATGAGCTCAGACTCTGCTCTGAAGGAGCCCTGACCACCCTTCACCACACCTCCTCCCACAAAGCCCTTTGCTGCTTCTCTCCAGCTCCACCTTCTTCCTGCCTCCCTTCTCCCAGAGAGCCACTACCTGGAGTGAAAATGAAAGTTTGGGACTAAAGCAATTTCCTCACTCACTTTGCTCACTACCAAATTCCAACACCAAAGACCAAGGGTCATTTCTGTCCAGGCCCTAGTCCCTGAAAGCAGTGGGGGAGAGGGGGATCTGGGGGCTGGGATGAGAAGCCAGGTACATGGGGGATTCCCAGCCCTCAGAATGAGGAACTACAAAAAATACATTTGAGCCAAAAGTGAGTCAAATGTGGGCTTCTAAAAAATCCCGGAGACATGCTTGGTTGGACCCCAACCATTCTGGTGCTCGGAAAGACCCCTGCAGATCTCTTAACCAAAACTTTCTGGAGTCCCAAGAGTTCCCTAAGTCATCTTAAATTGGAGAGACAGAGGCATAACCTTGGAGATTTCCTCCTTGGTTTGAGGAGGAGAACAGGTGTGAAAATCACCTTTCCTACTCAAACTAAAAAATAAAATAAAGTATCGGAGTGTCTGCAACCATTCCTTGTTCTCAAGTGCCCTGGAACAGGCAGCCCCAGCTGGCAAGGAAACGATAACCAGGAGAGCCTGGCCTCTGTCCACAGGGGGAGAGGGACTGGAAAGGAACAGGAAACGAGGCAGACCAGCCCCTTCCCTTGGCCAGCCTCCCTCCCTGCCCTCTGAAACCACTTCCAGTGTCTCTGCGCAGCCCCCGAGGCTGCCCCAGACCCCAGCCTGGTGCTGATGGCACCAAGGTGGGGGCTGCATAACCTCCACTGTCCCACCGGCAGGGCCCTCCCCAAGGACTCTCTGTGGACGGCCCAAGGCAGAGAAGAGGGGCTGCCCATCTCGTCTTAAACCTGCATCCTGGGGGGGGGGGCGGCCTTTGCCCAGCTCCCCACACACCCTCCAGACTCCCCTACCCCCAGAAAGCAGCTGGGACGCTCTCCTCCCCGAAGTCTTGCTTCTCCTTCCCTCCCAGGCCCTACTCTCAAATCTCAGCCGCTCTCTGGGTCGGGACAGAAACTACTCACCGCTGTCAGCAAGCAGCCCCAGAGGACGCCGAGCAGCAGCATAGCGGGGAGCGGCCGGGGCGGCGGGCGGGAGAGGCGGCCGGGGCGGGGCCTCTAGTAGCCCTGGAGCCCAGCCCGCGGCCCCGCCCAGGAAAGGGGCGTGGCTTGCGGGGCCCAATCCCGGCCGGCCCCCAAGTACTCGCCGCTCAGGGATTTTCCCGGGGTCGTTCCCGGGAATCTCATTCTCCCGGGGGAATTTGGGGACGCGCTCCGCCCGGCTGGCCCCGGGGCTTCGTCCCTGCAAAGGTCAAGTGGACGGCCGACCTCTCGGGGGGGGGAGGGGGAGAGGGGTCCGGTGGGTACCGGGGAGCCACCCCGGGGACACCCCCCCTCCCCCGCGCCTTGGTGTTCCCCGCCTCCGGGAATTCCTGCAGAACCGAAAGCGCCCTGGCCGGGATAATCGGGCCCGAGGAAGTCCCCGCCGCCACCCCAGAAGACGGGAAGGCCGCAGCTTGGAGGGCGGGCGGGGAGGCGTTTCTAGGAAACCTCTGTCCCAGCTTAGTTGTGTTCTCTTGCAAAGGAAGTCCCCTCTTGAGGACGCAACTCCCGGCCTCCCCGTCCACCCTTCCATGCATCCCTGTCCATCCCGGCTTCCGACCTGGGGTGGACAGGCACTTATTGACCTTGGAAGAGCCCTTAGAAAACGTCAGCAGACTCGGACAGAGTCCCTGTCCCCTGTGACTCCCTGTCCCCTGTGACTCCCAAACAATTCCTGTACTGGTTGCTTAACCCTGCGCCTGGGCGCTGTCCCTGAGCTTTTTCACTGGTGTTCTACCGCTTGAGCCACAGCTCCACTTCGGGCTTTCTGGTGACGAGTCGAAAATGAGTGTCTCGGGGACTTCACTGCCCAGCTGGTTTCAAACTGCAGTCCTCAGCTCTCAGCCTCCTGAGTAGCTAGGATTGCCGGCTCAAGCCCAAAGCATTCTCCAACCAGTGCAGCACAGATCCTATGGGTTCTGGTCCTGGCTCTGCCATGGATGCACTGAGCCCGCAGGAGCCTCAAACTAGAAACACTTGGGATGATTGATGATCCTGAACTTCTAGGCCAAGTCAAGAGGCCAGTCTGCACAGACCAGGAAGGATGGGAGAAGAGAAAGTTCCCAAGGAAAGAACCCCCTCCTTGGGACCTTTGCTGCAAAGGCTGTGTTGGCAGCTCTTGTGGATTCCAGCCCCCATCTTCTGTCACCTCTAGGACTGTCCCAATTCAGGACATCATCTTTCATCTTAATTCAAGACATCATTTCTCATGCGGCCTCAGAAGCCTCACTCATTCAGTAAGGAACTGAGTGGATTCAATAATAGCCTTCATCACAAAAAGGATGTGAGATGGTGGTCTCAATCCAGATGTCAATGTCAGTGGCCCCTTGGATAGAGAGGATGGTGGTCAGAGAGTAAAAGACCCAGAAGCACCTAAATCAGCACCCAGAGGCCCTTGGTAAAGCCACCCAGATATGCCCAAGATGAAGAGAAAATTAAAACATCTTTTCCTTTGAAGAAAAAAAAAACCAATAGCACATTTTTCATCCCTTTGGGAGAGGGCATTACTATAATCACTTCAGCTATTACTTATTCCTTATTTGCTTGATTCCAAAATTGGGCCCTTCACAAAACTGCCGGGGGAAGCAAGTACACAGAATTAAAACATTAATTATATTATATAAAACATATCATAGCAGCAATTAAAGCATCTTAAATTAATGTGTGAAAGAATAAATAGTAGCCTTCGGTTTGCCCCATGGGGTGCAGACCAGAGAAGATAAAGGGAAGATATTTCCGTCCTTACACTTCCCCCCAGGATACAGCCTGGCAGCAAGGCCTAGGAAAACACAAAATCCTGTTGGGCTGAGAAGTGTAAGGAAGGAAGACAGTAAGGAGATGAGGTGGGGGAGGGGGTGGCAGTAGTCAAGAGTCCCACCAAACAAGGATCCCTGATGGAATTAGCAATACAAATAGAGCAAAGGAGCCAATATTTGGACATCACAGAGGAAACAGGCAAGTGAAGAGCATGCTTATCTACAGCAGGGCCAGGCGCTGGTGGCTCACGCCTATTATCCTAGCTACTCAGGAGGCTGAGATCTGAGAATCGTGGTTCAAAGCCAGCCCTGGCTGAAAAGACTGTGAGACTCTTATTTCCAATAAACCACTCAGAAAATCAGAAGTGGTGCTGTGGCTCAAGTGGTAGAGTGTTTGCCTTGAGCTGAAGAGCTGAGGGACAGCGCCCAGGCCGAGAGTTCAAGCCCCACAACCAACAAAAAAAATATCTACAGTATTGCCAGAATCTGGCAACTAAGGGTCCAAGCTAATATGCAAACCAATATGTTCCCCCTCCCCACTAGATTGAAGTGGTTGGTAGCATCCTCAGACTTAAGCCCACAGAATGACACAGTGCTAGGCTTCCTGGTCTGCATCTCTACCCAGCCCTACTCCCTAGATATATACCATGCCATCACCTCTAACTGACCAGCCCATCTCCTTATACCTCATCCTGCAAGGCTTGGATCAGATACCCCTCCCATGGGAACTCCTCTCCAGCAGGCAAATGGGATGTGTATTCCTAGGCTCTCTCTAAACCCCTATGGCTGCTCACCAGAGGAAGTCTCCAGTTCCACCACACTGTACTTCAATTATTCTGTTTATTTGTGGAACCAGTGTATTGAAGTGACTCAACTCCGTGGGGCATAATAATGAGGCTTTTCCTCCTAATCCCTGCCTTCAGTCATGCTGTGTTGAATTTCCTTTTTCCATCCCTTAATGACATCTTGGCAGATTGCATTACTTTTGGATCACTTTCTGTTGTTAAACCTCCATCCTTCCAAACTTTATTCTCAAACTCAATTTAAATCTCATTTTCTCTTCTCCCCTATTCATCTAAGGATTGGCTTCACGCAGGGTCTGTGTTCTAGGAGTCAAAAGCAGGGGAGAGGGAGAGAGGCCTGGTTGATGGTTAAAGACTCACTGTACTACGTACATCCTCTTTTGTGAACATGGGGGCAGGGAGAAGGAAAAGGCAAATGACCCTGTCCCTCAAGAATGTTCTTTCTTCCTTTCTGTCTCCCCCTCCCCATGCCCTTTCTCGAATGGAGTGGCAAGTATTCACTTGTGGCTTCTCATGGGGCTGCATGAATGATTTTTATGGGACTGTCCTACCGCAAAGGCCATCAGCTCAGGCCTGATTCCTCCTGCCTTGCCAGCCCATCCCCTGGGCCCTGTCACTGGTGGGTCAGTCTGCATAGGCAGAACGTCAGAAATGTGTTGCAGCCTGACTAATGACTATAGTGTCCACTTGACCCACATTGCACATGCATCCTCGCTGCTCCAAGACATCCCCCTCTTCCCTCCTCCTTTCTCCTCCCCTGCTCAGATAGGCACAGTACACTGCTGAGTAGACTATGTGGGGACCCATGTTCCAGACCCCTTTCTTGTAGTCACTCTCAAGCTCTGTGAGGATTCCTTCAGGGCCCACTCCACACCTCTTCAATTGGGAGGAAAGGGAATGGCCTCCCCCCATACTTCTTAATAAATCAAAGACTTCCCCATCCCCAGGTTGAAATCAGGTCTTGGCTAGCTGAGGTAGGGCCTATTCTGCCTCCTTTAGAAAACTCTGGAGGGAGAAGATCTGGTGAGATGGAAAACAAGATACCAGGGCCTCTTGGCTTTAGCTGTGGTCCTTATTGACAGTTCCTAAGTAACAGGCAGCATTTGCTCTATAACTTTTGGACTGGCCACTCCTCGCATCTCACTTAATTTATGGAAGGAATAGTGTTGTCCTGGTGCCTGCCCAGAGCCCAGGCATGTTTTCAGAGTGAGTGCAGAACTATACAACAGTGATCATGAAGGGGCCTGCCAGGACCTGCCTGTGTGCCTCCCCCCACTGTCCTGGGCTGCTGTCCTTTCCTCCCAGATGACCAGGATCTCCAGCTGGGATTCCCAGGCTTAACTGTGAACAAAAAATATTTCCCTTTAGCTCAGCAGAGGTGGGTTGGGATTTATCAAAAGGAACTAAAGAAACTTAAGAAAGAACCCAACCAGAAATTTGGAAAACCCGAGTCAACCAAACACATGGGTAAGTTTGACAAAGTTTAGAATTTCTTTGTTGTAGTCTGGCTAAAACTGCTTACTAAGCCAGGTGTCAGTAGCTCAGGCCTGCAATCCTAGCTACTTAGCAGGCTGAGATCTAAGGATTGTGATTTAAAGCCTGGGCAAAGAAAGTCCATGAGACTCTTTATTTCCAATTGACCAGTTAAGAGCAAGAAGTGGAGCTTTGGCTCAAGTGATAGAAAGCCACCATTGAGCAAAAACTAAAGGATGGCATGTAGGCCTTAAGTGCAAGCCCCAATACTGGCATATTCACACATGCATGAGCATGCATGTACACACACACACATACACACACACACACACACACACACTATACATTGACTTGACTGATTCTGTTTCCCACGCATGATTCTGAGATGGCTTGAGTTGCAAGAGAGAGAACCCAACTCCTTACTGCACTTCAGAGTCCTCCATGACTGGCCTTCCCTCTAACCTCTCCCTCCACTGTCCACTCCTCTGCTACCTCCAGCATTCAACCACCGCCAGCTTATACCGCCAAGCTTTGTGTGCCCCTTTGCAACTCTTCATTCATTCTCTTCCACCCCAGTCAGGTATGGGGCAAATGACATGTCCTCCGGGAGGTCTTCCCCTGACTACCTCCTAGAAAAAAGCTGCCCTGCCCTCGCTGAAAAAAAAAACAAAGCTTGTGAATTTAAATGGACGAGAATATTATTGGAAGGGCATTGGGCAGTTCATGGAGGCTAAAGAGTGAAACTCAGGCCAGGACTTCAGGAGGTAAGACATAGACAAGACAGCCAGAAAAAAGTTCTGACAACCATCTCTGTGCTAGCTGGCCTCCAAGACAGTTTTCACACACACACACACACACACACACACACACACACACACACACACACACACACACACACACTCTCCCATGATCCCTACCTCCTCCTTAGTCCCTTCCCTACTTGTACCAGGGTTGGTCTGTAAAACCACAG